CTGTTGCCTTTGAGTCTGCTACCGATTCATAGCAACCTCATGTGCATCAGAGTAGAAGTGTGCTCCAAAAGACTTTCAGTGGCTGATTTTCCAAAAGTAGGTGGATAGGCCTTTCTTCCACACACCTCTGAGTGAACTCAGACTTCCGGACTCTTAGCATCTGAGTGCGTTAACCTCCAACCTTTCAGTTCCTGGCTGAGCATTTGTACCACCTGGGGATTCTACCTGCTCTCTAGTGCCCTTTAAACTCATCATTGTTTTAAAGTTCTCATATTTTGTTAAGCCTTATTCTTAGAGGCTCTATTCATAATGGAATACTTGAAACAACTTATTATGGTGGAAATTTTTCCCAATGATAAAGCAAGAGCTACTGGAGAAATATCACTCCTTTATCCAGATGAAGCCAATCTTCACTGTTATTTTAATCTACTACAATAAAGCTCATATACAGGAAAAGTTGTAGTGAGTCATAATCCTTTGAAACTGAGTTTTGGCAAAGTTTGAATTTTTTTTAAAAAAGATTTTTTATTGTTGTGAGACTATTGTGTTGATGATATTATCTCTTTTTTTTTTTAACCTTTTATGTCTTCTACTTTTTCCATTCTCTGTCATCTCAAATTGCTATAGAGCAGAGATCAGAGTTCAGCTGTTGAGGCTGATCTCTGTGAATGGAAAAATAGCTTGTAGTTTCAACTGTAGGCTGATTTGCAATTACTTGGGCAAAATGATAATGGATTCTAATAACTAACTTTTAAAAAAGGTTTTATCTAGTACAGTGCATTTCATTCCTCCTAGTACTTACTTTTCCTTTGACCAAAATTAACACATCAAAAGAATAATAGATGATCTGATGAACCTAAAAATGTCCATTACAAATGTCAGGTAGACCCAACGATTTTAGGAAAATGAACAAAAGTCAAATAGATAAGCAGTTTGATGAAAAAGTAAAATTTCTCCTTGAATGCTTGAAAATGCTCATCTCTGTCTCCATCTATCCTATCTCCCTACTCTTCTTCTTTGCATGTATTTATTTTTACAAACATGGGAGTTTTTAGTGGGCATGTACTTCTTTTATCTCAATTCTTCCTGCTTGTTTCTTTTTTTTCATTTTCATGTGTTTATTTTTCTGACAAGTATTAATCAAAGTCCAAGTTACAGTGCAATTTTGAGGCTATCACATTGAGGCTGATGTCATAGTCACTTCAAGCCAGCTCAGCTGGCGCTTCATTTTGGTTTCTAAGGCTCTGTTCTCCAACAACCCTTCTCCCCCAGTAGAGATGTATGGGAAATTGCCAGAATGTCTGACAATATCCCCATGCTACTTCCAGGTGATAGCCAGTCTTAGATCACAGTAGTTTAATGGTGACTCCATTTCTGTCATCAGCTGGTTTTAAGAGCTGCACGGCACATAGTAGGTAAGGACCTAATAAATATTTGATGGATGAATAAAGAAATGAATGTGTAAAGGAGTTTTGCTCATAACTGAAGTCCTTAAGGCATGAAGAAGCTCTTTAGGCAAAGCCTTCTGTCAATAAGTATAGCCAATTAAGTGTACAGATATAAGTATGTGTGTGTCCTAATATCCATTAGTGATTATAGACTGTGGCCCTCAGGTTCCCTTGTGAATTCATATGTGAGCCTGACCTGACATGAACTGCTTGCACTATGAGTAATCACTAGACTTCTTCCCAGGGCAAAAATGATGTCAGGCATGAGGAGTCCACATTTAGCTTCACCTTTAGTATGAAATGACTTTCTATATTTTATTTGAGAGATTAACTCTCATGAGAATATATACTTGAAAGACAACCTTACACAGTTTGAACTTTCTCACATTGGTTAAGAGCAATATCACTTAGAAAAAAAAAAAAATTGGACTGAATTGGCAAAACAAAATTCTCTAAAGGCCAGGAATTTCACATTTTGCCTATGTTCTCTCATTTCATTGTGTCTTAAAACCAGGTTGCTAGTAGGTAGAGTATTTTAGTAGCCTTGATCTTGGAGACACCAAGGCCATTATTCTTGTTGCTGATTTAGTGTTACAGCTGCTTCCTCTGTATATGATATAATTTTAAGCTCAGCCCACCAGGGGGCTATTGGTCCCCACCTCTGCAGCTTTAAGAGTTGGCTGCTGTTGTCTGTGTGGATGTTATTTCCATTCCTATTCATAGTGATTTTCCCTCTTCTGTATTGCTCTAGCAACAGCAAGGCACTGTTCCAGGAACTCACTCGCTCTACATAAGGCGTAACATGGAACCATTTGGATGGAAAAATTATAAATTAAAATTATTCTGTTCATTTTAAAATATTCATATTGTGTTGCTCATATGCCAGTAACTGGAAAATCATGGATAATGTCCTGTTTTTATAACCTCTTTCAGGGTGTTTTAAAAATCCGTTTATGGTGTTACTTTGCCATCTCTTTTCATACGAGTGGATTTTATGATAAGATTTTTTTTAAAAAAGCTTATATGAGTCCAGTGTTGGATGGCATATGTAATTTTAAAATAAAGATACCAATAACTGCAACTCATTTTTTTGCAAATTGAATTATTCCATGTACAGAGAATATTTATAAAATTATAAGAATATAAGTATAGCCTATGGAAATAGCAGGCAATTTCTTTGGAAGATAAAACTTTTTATTAGATTAAAACTAAAGAAAATTTATTGATTTCTGGAACTAAATATTTAATACAAACTAAGAAAACAACCCATACATTCATAACAATATACTGATTTTTAAGTATTGAAAATACCTTCAGTTTTTTTTAAAAGCATTGGTTTTGATACCTTCTGTTTGCAATAATAACAACAACAACAACAAAAAAAACCAACTCACTGCCATGGAGTCGTTTCCAACTCAGCAACCCCCAGTGGGTTTCTGAAGCTGTAAATCTTTTTTTTTTTTTTTTAAACCACAGTAGGGTGGAGGGGGAAAGGGTAAGCTTTTGTGTGTGTGTGTGATTTGGGTCAAAGTTTACAGAGCAAATTCAGTTTCCATACAGCAGGTGAAGGTGTAACTCTTTATAGAAGTTGATCGCACCGTCTTCCTTCCAAGGTGTGGACGTTGGGTTTGAATAACTGATCTACCAGTAACAGTCAGTGCCTTATCCACTGTGCCACCAGGGCAATACTATGCTATTATACTTCTTAGTTTTGGGAAAGACTTAACCAAAAAAAAGACCAAACTCACTGCCATCAAGTCGGCTTGGACTCATAGTGACCCCTCCTTGGGTTTCCGAGGTGGTATCACTAGGGAAGTAGATTGCCCAGTCTTCCTTCCGAGGAGTGGCTGGTGTGTTTGAACCACCAGTCTTCTAGTTAGCAGTCAAATGCCTTATGCACTATGCCACCAGAGCTCCTGGGAAAGATGTACAGCCTTGGAAACCCAGTTGGGGTCACTATGAGTCATAATCTACTCAATGGCAATGAGCTTGGATTTTGGTGTGAGGTCTGAGTAACTAAAATTCTATTTCTGTCCTTGTATTCTCCATGTTATGTAGGGAAGGGTACGTGTGTCAGAAAGATAGGCAGGTGAAGAAGTGTGAAAATGTTTTTGTGTGACTTGGATACTTTTTGACAAAGTAAATAATTCCATTTAACCATCTCTTACTCTAAAGGAAAGAATTATGAATGGACATCTTAGCTCTATGGAACGAATTAAATAAGACATAGACCTTTATTTTTTTGATCCTTTATTTTGTAACTTTTAAGTCCATATTCCGGAAGGAAGGTTGGGCAATCTACTTCCGTAGTGATACTGCCTCCGAAACCCAAGGAGAGGTCACTATGAGTCTGGTCCAACTCCACAGCACACAACAACAAGAAGTCCATATTCACATAAAGCCGTGTATTTCATAGGTTGTTACTCTCAGCTAGGAATCTTTACATGTTATTTTTGAAACTCTTTCTGTTGGGTCAGTTGAAGCCATTCTAAAATAATGATTTTAACACTTTTTCTTGAAACATTTACTCTTGGTTCAGGATGTAGTCTTAGAGTGCACCCGTGTGTGTGTGTGTGAGAGAGAGTGTATGTGTGTGTGTGTTTTGAATTTTTTGAGTTGAGAAGCAACAGATCATGTTAGCATAAGCAAATTTCACAGACTCATTTCATTGTTTGTTTTACTCTTGTGAGTCATTTGGCCCTTTTAAATGAACTAATCTTTTAATTGAGGGTGGGTTCTGAAAGGTAGTATGTGCCATGAAAACCTAGATTGGCTCTTACTAACTCTGTTTTATTCATTTTGAATAACTTTAGATGATCCAGAAGTATTCCTCTCAATTTTTGCAAGAATGTTATTGCAGGCTGTAGTATTTCAATTTAGAACTCCTTATAATAGCAATAACAATAATAACAAAAAGTCAAATATACGTTTTCCTAAAGGATACTAGCTGTCAATAAACAGATTTCCAACACAAAACACTTAGTTAACACACAACCAACTTTTTTGAATACAGCAGCACAATGCATACTATTCTTAATTGAATGAAGAAGACAGATTATACTGCAGGAGAAATGAGTGCCTTGTAATTAATAATTTATGAGTTAAACCTTAACTGTGCTTGACATTTCTCCTTGGATTGGTGACAGGCTGATTAGTGAGTTAACTGCTGATAGTACCTATTCTGTGAAGAGACTGTTTCTGTTCCAGGGCTTATGGACTTCAATAAAATAGGTATTCTCAGAGGTGGAACTGAAGCTTTAGTGTTGATCAAGGTGCTTTGGAGGAAGCACAGTTGAACTGATTGGCTGTGAATGTTAATTACTCCATAGGCCACACTGATAATTTATAGCATTGTTGTAACTCTCTGGTGTTCATAAAATGAACTTAATAACCCACTGCCACTATGGGATAAACTGCTTTTTCTCTGCAATTGAATACCCAGACTGCCTGCATAATAGTGTTGAGCAATACTGCATTAAAAAGAGTGAGCAGCTGTCTGATGAAGGAAACAGCTCTGAAACAGATTTGTTAATTATCTCCTTTGATTCACAGAGGGTGTTTGTGAGATATGGTTGACCAGTGAAGACACAGGGGCTTATGGCAGAGATATTGGCACCAATCTCCCCACACTACTGTGGAAACTGGTTGAAGTGATTCCTGAGGGAGCTATGCTGAGGCTGGGCATGACAAATCCGCCCTACATTTTAGAGCATCTGGAGGTAAGCACCCCATTTACATGCTGACACTAACCAGTCCAGACGATGTGGCAGCCTTAGGATCGTCACACGAGCTTCACTGAAAACCATTTTCACACTTTGTTTTGTAGTCCCACGCTACCAGGAAGGGATCAAGACTTTCCAATTCTCTTCTTTGTCAGTCTGTGCACCTTGTTGTTGCTTCCTCAACATTAATTAATGTTGCCTTGAATTTTCAACACTTGCCATCTTGTCACAGGTTTTTTTTTTTTTTTTTTTTGTAGCCTTTCAGTTTTTCAACACGTGTAATCGCCTCGATTCCATCACGTTGAATCCTATTCTAGTTCAGGACTGCTGGTATGAACATTGTATTGTCCAGGCTACTTTTAGACATATCAGTAAGGATATGTCTTACATTTGGGGATGACTTTCAAATGTCATCCCTTCATTGGGAGATAGTTAGGGGTGGAATGGAATAAAAAAGACACAAGTTTCTCTACCCAATTTTCCTGTGATCGTGGTGTACAAGAAGGGCGTGTGACCACTGGAGCTTTATGGTTTAATTAGTTTCATATCTTCTTTGGATCAAGATGCTTAGCTTCAATTAGCTTATTATCAAGCTAGATAAATGGTGTACACAAGTAACTGTGTCATCTGATGAAAAATACCATAATAAATAGGAACATAGAATATGGACAAGAGAGGAACAGTTTAAATGAAAGCATACATAGTAGGATTTCTGTTAGTTTCCAAAGGCAGCTTTAACAACATACTCCTGATTGGATGGCTCATAAGAACAGAAATGTATTGTGTCTCAGTTTTAAAAGCTAATTGTCCAAACTCAAGAGTTTTGGAATGGCTGTGCTCTCTCTTAAGACCCAAGGGATAGATCCTTTCTTGTCTCCCTTAGATTCTCATGGCCCTGTGTGTTCCTTGGCCTACAGCTGTAGCATAATTTTGTCATCACAGAGTCATCTTCCCTGTCTTTCTGTGTCTCTTTTCTTTTTTTAGGACAAGCACTCAGATTGGATTGGGACACACCTAATCCAGTAGGACCTCATGTTAACTGATAGCATCTTCAAAGACCTTATTTCCAAACAAGTCATCTTCACAGATACCAGAGATTATGACTTCAGCATAAATTTTAAGGGGATACAATTCAATCTGTAATAGAATCTATGACTTTTATTTGAGAAATAGCCTGATATATTAGACCCGTGGTTGTGGACATGACATGTAATAAGTGCTGTTGGAAAGTCATGTGCAAAGTATAAAAACAAATCACTTACATATTTAATCAAATGATTTTTGCATTAGTTTTGTGCAAAAAAAAAAATCAAAAAGCTAAAAGTAAGTATCATTGCTGAAATTTAATCCATAAATGCAAATGGGTATTCAGACACTTAAAAGATTATTTCTCTTGATTTCATTTTGGGGCAATACTTGCTGAAATGGTTGGTAAAAAAGCCTCCTTAATAACAACATATGCCAGAAGTTCTGCAAACAGGGTTGATAATAATCTGATTCTTAATTATAAATTTATAATGAAGAAATTTAGCATTTTCAATTTTGTTATTCACATTTTCCTAGCCAGATCTTTCTAGTAAGGGCTTAAGGTTTATATATTACTTTGGTACTTGGACAATGTGGGATGATTATAATTTACTATTTAAAATATATCACAGGCATGTTAACTTATACTTAACACTTTTACTCAACACTTGAAAAAGCGAGTGATTCTTTGTAAAAATCAAATATGCTAAGAGCCGTGGCAGTCTTGCTATATTTGCAGTAAATGTGAGGGATATATCATAAAAACTAGAAGATGCGTTAGATCTGTGGTAAGTGGCAAGGGAAATAGGCTCAACCAAGATAGAGTTGAAAACATGCCAGTTTCTTTAGGTTGAAAATAATCTCATCAGAGATCAAGGGAACCATAGTAACTAGAGTCAGAGAAGTTGAAATAAGGAGTCAACACAAGAAAAAAAAATCAGGTATTGGCTCTGAGGTGACTAACCAAATACCTCCTAGGGTAACTTTAGCATTTGAATTGCTTTTAAGATTAGGGTACCTAATACTCCATTCACAGTACCTTCTAATAATGCTCAGCACCTCAAGTAATACCAGATTTGTTGACCTTGGAATAAATGCTCTAGGGGTGCTTCTAAAAATCACCTGAAGATGGTAATTTTATTCTATACCTGGAAATCATCAGATGTTTAGTTGATAGATCGTGGCACAGTAATAACAGATTTTGATTTTCATGACACTATATTTTATTAATTCTCTATAAGTTGGCATTCCATAATAGATTGTCATCTCCTTGAGGCAAGGACCTTGCCATATCCATCTCTGGTAGTACCCCACCCAGTAGTGGCTCAGTGAATAAACAAATAAAAGAATCTATAAAACAAGAGCCATCTTCATAAAATTAATTGCAGCGACCACACAATAGTGCTAATCTTTTAAGTATCACCCTCTGGCCAGAAAAGGCAGCCGAAGATGATAGAGTAAATGAGCTCCAAGAGTGAGAGTTTACCCCAAAGAAAGCTGCCCCCTCCTACATGCTTTATAAGCATGGAGTGATCCAGTCATAGTATACCACACCAGAGAGAAGAGCAATTCAGAGGAAACAGAACAAAATAAAACAAACATACAAACAAACAACAACAGATATATGCAAGAATAAAAGATCCACTCCATCTGCAAGACCTTTTAGACATTTCCTTCACCACTTTGACAAATCCTCAACCTTCACACCACAATTTGGTGGTTCCTCTCATCCTCTCCTGGATGGCAGAGCCCACAGTTACAGTGTTCCCCAAACACATCTTTATGCAACAGAAAAGGTAACTGAGTTCCAGAAGCCTTCAGTCATTTCCCTGAGTCACAAAGGATGTTAAGTAAAGGAGCCCAGAGCTGCTATATCTTGGTCCATTGTTCCATCTTAGTCCGTTGTTCTTCAGTCCTATGCTCAGCCATACATTGATTTTATTTCTTCATTTTCCTTTCACTAAGCTTAAGACCACTTTACAGAAATTACTTATCGAAAGAGTACTGAAGAGAGTCCACTAATATAAAAAAAACAGGAGAAAATAATGCAAACAGAAAAAAAATAACAACTGTGAATGACAAAACCTTAGCGATAGAAGGAAACTACTCTTGAAATAACTACTCTGATGCTTTAATATCCTTGGAATAAGGGTTTTGTGAGAATTTGTATTGGTCAACCCAGCCTCCTTGTGATTCTGGAAGATGCTTCACACTGCAGTCTTTAATTATAGAGCACTTCACTGGGCTATTTTCCTTCCTCTTTATTCTGTTCACTTCATATTCATCTGAATCTTGAAGTTTTATTGTTTTGTTTTTAGAATCCTTTCACCAGCATTTATATATATATATATATGTTGTTGTTGTTGTTAAGTGCCGTCGAGTCGTTTCCGACTCATAGCGACCCCATGCACAGCAGAACGAAACACTGCCCGATCCCGCACCAGCCCCACAATCCCTACTATACTCGAGCCCATCATCGCAGCCACCATATCAATCCATCTCCTTGAAGGCCTCCCCCTATTTCGTCGACCCTCCACCCTACCAAGCATGACATCCTTCTCCAGGGAATGGTCCCTTCTTACAACATGACCAAAATAGGTGAGACGAAGTCTGGCCATTCTTGCTTCCAAGGAGCATTCTGGCTGCACTTCCTCCAGGACAGATCTGTTAGTTCTTTTAGCAGTCCACGGTACTTTCAGCATATATATATATATATCAAATCGCATGTTAAAGGGAAAATGATTTAAAGGAAAAAAGTTAAAATTTCTATCATGGATGTTAGGAATAGTGTGGAAAAATACATTTGTTGAAAATGCATTTTATTAAATCTTCATAAGAATAAAAGATGCATGTTATGTTTAGTGCTAAAAGGGCGGTGAAGCCACATATTATGACCTCCTCTAACCCTACAAGAGGAAGACAGAATTACCATCAGTAGCCCAAGGCCTATTCCTGTGAGGCCAGACATGCTGCCTCCTCTCCAGACCTTTCATCAACCCTGACACTAACCATTCCTCCTGCAGCACCCACCACCTTTCTGCTAGGTTTGATAATTCACTGCAATGGCCATACAGAACTCACGGATTACGGGGTTTATTAGGGAAGCACCAGGCTACAATTCAAGTTCAGGAACAATGCTCAGTCTCTCTCAGCCAACAGTCTCTTTCAGTCTCTCTCCCAGCAGTGCATGTCTCTCAGCAATGTGTGCCTCTTGGTGTCTCTCAGCAGCGTGTGTCTCTCAGGAGCACATTTCTCTCAGTGGTATATTTCCTCAGCCAGAAGTCAGAAAGAAGGATCTACCTCTAGAAGGGCTCCTTTGAGGCTGGCAGAGTGGCCAACTTACCAATCCCAACATCAGAATTCTAAACACCTGAAAGAGAGCAAACTTCCCAGAACACTGTTTCGTGCCACTCTCAACAGAAATACCCCAGGTGGATAACTTTAATAATCAGGAGCTCCTCATTTGCTCAGTGCAAATTCCACCACGGAATTTACAAAGACTTATGGCTAGAAAAGCCATACCAGATAATTTACTGCACCACACTTAGTATAAGATATACTTTTAGGATTCTACTAAGAGTCAAGCATATTGCACCCCCCCCAAGTGGCGGGCAAGTGGGCAGAAGGAGAGAAAAGCCAGGGTGAGCAGGACAGAGCGAGGAAGCAGCAGCAGGGATCCAGATAAGGGGAAGGGACCCAGGCCCAACCCCTAAGTGGCGGTAAAGCAGGGGAAGGAGAGAAAAGCCAAGGGGATCAGAACAGAGCGAGGAAGCAGCAACAGGGATTCAGGTAGGGGAAGGGACCCAGGCCCCACCCCCAAGTGGCAGGAAAGCAGCTGGGGATCCAGGTAAAGGAAGGGTGGAGAGGTTTCGAATAGCTAAGGGAGACAAACTTGTCTGTTGTTTTATTGTACTGTGGTGGCATGTTGCTGTGAGACTTCAGGATGTGTCATTGGTGTTTGAAACACCAGC